TCTAAGTACTGATTTTCCTGATTTTATGTAGGTAACGACTTACCACGAGTCAGTGATCAGTAGACAGTAATAGGTTGGAATTTATAAACAGGGTCCGTTTATTAAAGAAGTGATGTACCTCTATTGCCTATATATTACGCCGTGTAACATTTATGTTAAAATTCAAATAAACCGGACAAAAAAACATAGTCCATACTATAATCTATGATCCGTATATTATGATCGAGTGTTTGCAAGTAGGCTCAATCAGTGGCGGCGCGAACTTTTTCGACAGTGAGGCAAGAAAATGTTAGTTGCAGCACACACGACCCACCTTTTTATTTTCCCACACCCCCTATTATAATTCAATATCAAATTAGCCTTTCTAAAAATGAATCCAAGTTTCTGCTTGAGAGTTGAGACTGCAATAATAACGTTAATAACAGCCAAACACTGTATTACTAACAGAATGTGAAAACAAGTCACTAACACACAGTTGCGATTCATATTTATTAATACTAATCAGTTATTGGTCGTTTCTGGTTAACTGTTGAAAATACGTCTGAATGTCAGGTAAGCATTTGTTTTATTCATAAACCATGTTTATGTCTATACTCTATAGTCTGTACTCTATATGAATATGACTATTTATATATTTATTTATTTGATACGTTGTGTCACTCAATATTTTTCAGAACTGACTATCCACTATAGGTACTTAATCGGTACCCACCCACCATGCAACCCTTTTAGCTGTGAGACATTTGTCTCACAAAAACCCTCTCGCACCGCCACTGGGCTCAATCGCGGTATGCTTATAATCACCTTGGCCATGGTGTTGTGTTACTTTTATAAATTTAAGGATAATGATTCTTTATTGCATTCTAAAAATTGTCCATGGTTGTGCTCCATTTCTTTTATACTCAATTATTCTAAATAATAAAATTAATTTTAATACTTATATTAAAGACAAGAGATTGGATAAACTTAAAAATATGGCATCAAACAAAACCTTTTAATAGTATGTCTGGACGAACATTTAAATTGTATGTCAAACTGAGAAATTCGGTTAGGTTGAACTTGATATAAAACTGAATTCGAACTTTTTTTTTTCCGTTTGAACCGACAGCAGAGGAGGATCTGTGTGAACACTACTACTCCTCTGCTGCCATCGTTTATTAATGTTTAATAAACAACGTTAATACATGCACATCTTCACTTTAAAAATAAACATCGGCCTCAGCTATCCTTTCATCATGCTCCTTGCAGCTTAAAATATTGTCAACCATGTCATAAAAGGACTGAGTGGCGCGTTGGGAGGCAGACTGCAGCCGGTCGTTCTCGCTGGACGGGACATCAGAGGGGCCGCACAACAAATCCTGAACGTCTCCCGGAGTTATATTTCGGCTACCAACAAATATCTTCACTGGCACCCGAAGCGGATCCCAGTAAGCACAATCGAATATCGTGTGTTCCACAGTGTCCTCCGGATGTTGGCAGTACAGGCAGGCCGCATCAGGGGCGTGCTTCATTCTGTGTAGGTATAGTACCTGAAACATCCGTATCCCGTAAGAGCCTGTGTTACATGAAACGTGAGGTCCTTGGGACACCTTTTCGTCCATCTTATCAGGTCCGGAAGAATCGTGCGCGTCCAAGCTCCTCTAACGCCCCGACTCCATTTGTTCGACCAGGCAGTAAGCAGGATGTCTCGCTCTGCTCTCCGGATCTCATCCTTTGAATCAGCTCTGTCCTGGTCGTCAAGAGTTTGCTTCGGACTCTTTTGCATTCCGAGGCAAGAAGATCACCCGGAGGAGTTCCCGCCAGGAATAAGGCTGCCTCAGCCGAGACTGTGCGGTACGCCCTCGTGACTCTGAGAGCCGCAATCCTTTGTGCCCGAATCATAAGGTTTCGACAGATAGCGTACTTGCATGCTCTTTCCTAACCTAACCTAACCTAACCCCACGTTGGACAGACGTACAGCAGCCTGCTGTTCACCACAGACATTAGCAGCTTTCTCTTAGACTGTGAGGGTCCTCCAAGGTTGGGTATGAGCCGTCCTATAGCCAGCGCTGCCTGGGACGCCTTCCCCGAACCAGTAGTGAAGTGTCCACTGAATGTAAGGTGTGAGTCCAGATGGAGTCCCAGGTATCGCAACTTCCTTAGCAAAGGAACTGTGTGACCCCCTACCACGAACACCGGATCCCGATACGCCCACTTCTTAGTCAGCATGATGGCCTCTGTCTTGTGCCGTGCTAGTTGAAGTCCGAGGGCGCCCATCCAGCCATCAATAACGTCTAATGTGGGGTTGACCACCTCCTCCATGGTGTCTGAGGTCTCTCCGACTGCGAGTAGGGCTAGGCCATCTGCGAAGCCGACAAGCTGAACACCTTCCGGAACGTCCATCCTGAGAATTTCATCGTAGAATACATTCCATAATGTGGGGCCGAGGACCGACCACTGCGGGAATAGTCATCGAGGACCTCCTAGTCCACTACCTCATAGGGGCCACGGCCCGAGAAGGTTACATCAATGACCGAAGAAGACTCCCCTCTCTGGAAGGTAGGGTGGCTTCCGACGTTGTTGGTCCAGAGTCCAAGACTTGCGGCAAAGGATTCAAGAGCTTCTCCTTTACTATCATCTACACTAGAGCCCCAGTACGTGGACTTAGCATTAAAGTCACCAGCAACCAGGAGAGTTTCATTCTCTCTTTCCCCCTGTCGTATAGCTTGGTCAAGACCATCCAGGAATCCCTTGAAGGCCTCCAGGCGGTCCGCAGCAGAGTCGCCGTTGGGGGTCCAGTAGCAGCTGAATGCTCTAACATTCCCTAATCGGAGCCATGCAAAGCCCGGGCCAGAACCAGACTCCTCCGCCACAATGCTCGCAATGGTAGTCAGTTGCTATTGAGCACCTCCCGTCTGAACTAGATGCCTAGCTGGGGTAGTTACATGGGGATCTGTTGTGCTCACTGAGGATGAGGAGGCCAATGTCCATGTTCAGCATGGTTCGGGAAAGTAGATTTTGAGCAGCCCAGTCGGTGTGGAGGTTGATTTGCAAGCAGTGAATCATTGCTTCGAGAGTGTTCCATCTCCGCTGGCTTCCCGCCTAGACTGCGCTTGCGAATTGTGCCCAGCAGGTATCTTGAGCGCCTCCTTCCTGGCTTTGCACATACCTGAACCTGGCTTATGTTCAAAACGTTCAGTGCCTGCTCTCTCACACGCAACACATCGGTCTTCGTCCGCCAAACATACTTTAAGTTCGTGTCCTGGTTCTCCACAGCGTCTGCAATTCAACGATAGGTCGGGCCCGGAGCAATTATCACTCCGATGACCGAATCCGTGACATCTAAAGCACTTTTCGGGTTCAGGACGCCTAGGGCGAACGCGGCACATTGGCCATCCAATAGGGACGCGAGTTACAATAGCGGCAGAAGCTCTGGTCATTCTGGTGGTAGCAATTTGCTGGCCGGACCTGGTGGACCAAAGGCCAGTGATCTGAACTGCCTGTCGTTCGCAAATTGCAGCTTGGTCGTCTACGGATCCGGGTATTGCCACCCGCAATGCCGAAAGAACTTCACCCTCGGTCGTCACTGCGTCGAGGTCAACAATCTCAACAACAGTAAACTGGCTAAGCTGTGACACTCCACCGACCGCATCACCCAACCTGGTGGCTATGGCCGACGACAATTTCTGGGCTGCTACTACAGATCTCGCACCTTTGGCTAACTCAACCAGCAAGTGCCCATCCCTGGTTTTGCGCATACCAGTAACCTGAGCTCCCAGCTCAACCGAGTTCACCTCGCTGTTATTCCTCACTGCACGAACGGTGTCCGCGTACGACGAGCCGGCAGCCACCTTAACTAAAACTGCCGGAGGTTTAGCCCTGAACTTCGCCCGATTTTTAATCTTATGTCAAGGCGGAGTATAAAATATAAATCATTTTTTATTCGAAACGTATGTATGACATGTTCAAATTATTTTGGAGTAGTGCCTGTTTGGGTGTTCAAATAAATCATCGAATTTTCAACTTTTTGTTCAATTTTGAATTGTATATACGAGTTTTGAACTCAAAGCGAACACCTAAGTTCTGGTTGATTTTTCAAACATCGAACAATTCGATCAACCTCTATTAAAGTTTAAGTTGTTTATGATTAACATTTATTATGATATTATATTTAGGATAACGCAGTTAATATGACTTATTCCTGGTTATCAAAGGATTGAAAGCGTTATACGTTTTGCAAAACAATTAAGAATACTACAAATTTACAAAGAACTCACCACTACACCAAAAAACTAAAATAAGTAAAACAAATTAAAATAGTAATTTAGTTTAAAAAATAAGTTTATTTGGTAATGCAAAGATACATAAATATTAAATACATAATATATAAGTCAACAATCGATGAAAATAAATAACTTAAAAAGTTAAAACACATTTATTTTATTGGCTGCATCCGAATTGCGCACCAAAAAAATTAGTAGTTTTGGTCAACAACCGAATTGCGTGCGCAGTTTTTATATGACAGGGTGGAATGCGTGCGAGTATTTTTTGGTACAGGTCCGAATTGCATGAGTTAAAGTTTGAGTAGACGACCGGTTTTTTAATTTCAAATCAAACTCAAATACGACGTAAAGCTGTGGAAAAAGAAGATTATATTAGAGAAATTATGCGACAGTATGAAGATAAAATTATAACCCGTTTGGAGTTTATAGAAAAGTTAGCTTACAAAAACTTACCAGTTTAATTTTTTTTTTAATTGAATTTTTATATTTTTGACCTGTCTATTTTTGGCATTGCATTAACAATTTTTGATTAATTTTTTTTAGCTTTTTTTTTTATTGTGCTTTTTGAACTTAAAGATTTAATTGTCGATCCTGACTTTATTAACTTTTATTTATTGAATTAATACTATATTTTTGATCCCCTCTCCCCCATAAGCTCTAAAAAATAAAATTTAGTTGTAGGTATATTAGTATATAATTATTTTATTATTAAATTATTAAATTTTAAAATTAAAAATGTATTTATTTATTTTTCAAACAATGTGAATGAATCTTATATTAATATAATAAAAAAATATTTGTTATAAATATAAATAAATAAATATAAAATGGAGTGAGGGGGTGCACGCAACTTGGCTCAGTCGTGAATAAACTACGCACGCAACTCAACCTAGATAATGATTTTCGCACGCAATTCGGAAACACCGATTTTATGGTATTAATAATTCTTCGTTTCTTAGAAATGTATGATTATTCACACATTTACTCTAAGCAGCAAATTCCCGCATACCTGTAAATAAAAATATATATTAATATTACTTAACAGCTGATAATTCAGTAAATGTTTTTAATATAAATTATTCAGTAGTATATATAGTCATACTATACAGAATGATTGATCTCGATACTAAATTTAAGTACAGATCACAAACCATTAATTAACCTTTTAATGTTGTAAAAATATTTTTATTCTCTAATCATAACGTTGTAAAATATTTTTTTCAAACATTTCACAACCAATTCTATGAATAATTCTTGGTGTACTACTTTCATTAGATCTCTCAAAAAACTAACAATTCAATTTGATATTCGTGAATTCAAAATAAAACTAAAAATGAATTACTCTTAAGTATGATCGAAATGTTAGGATCAACTAATAATAAGTGTTATAAATTAAATGGCTTAATAAAGCAAACAATTTACAACGAATTTCAGATATTTATGGACACTCAAATATCCACAGTACAAAATTAAGAATAATAGTATTATACCACACAAGACAAGTAATATTATACTTACAATGTTTCTATTGGGCAAAACAGTGAAAGGTATGTATCAAATGAGTGTAGGATTGAAGCAACAACGCAGTCTTTTAAATGTTTACAATTACCATGGATTTGATCAGTTGTTGTACAGTTTTGATATAATTGACCACTCAAAACAAATATTAAACAGTAAACAAACAACATGAATTTGAAATTAATTATCAAATAAGACTGTCTGTACCAGTCACGGTTCACTCACCGTGTTCAATGATACTTGGTAAACTGTATTAGTTGCGTTCAATGTAATAGAACCACTCAACCATGCTAGTTCTTTGATATCGTGCAACGATGTAGAATTTGATTCCTCTTTTAAAATTTGGGAGGAATCTACCGGCAACAAATTACCTGGGGTATATCCTCGTCGACTTTGTGGTGGATAATTGTGAGCCGATTTAGGTGAAACTAAGATAATGTATAAAAAAATTTTTACCACATTTGAAGTATAAATATTTGTACAAAATACACCTAGTTTCAAAGATGAAAGAAAAATATCAAAACCAAGATTCAACTAGATTTATCATAGTTCTGTCATCACTCAGTTGCATTTTTACTTTTATAAATCCATTTTTCATATTTTATTTCGTTATTGGTTTAGTAATAATTAGATTTGTACAATATTTAAAACATTTGTTTTGTTTTATAATAAATTAATCATTCTTACGTTATTTAATTTCAATAGGTTGTTTTATTTCTACTGCTCATATACAGTTTGATCTCACAACAATAAGAAATATTTATTTACTATTAAGTAATCCTCCCCCTCCTTTACTATTCCAATAAATTATCATATGTAACTATGCAATAAAAGTGATGAAACAAAAACTATCAAATCACCTTAAGAACATAATAATATCATCGGATGACATACTCATCGAAAGACTATCATCTAAAAAATTAAGTTATTACAAATACTTGAATTTTTAGTCATTTATAATGAAACTTCGATTATGAAAAATTGAAAAACCCAAATTGTTTCAACAAATTTGGTTTACTTTCAACATTAAAATAGGTCTACAGATAACCATGACGAGGAATAACATATTTCACACATTTTATTACTAAATGACGAATGTCAGAGTAGATTTGCAGATTTACAAAAGTTTAAATAACATTTTTTACTTTTTAGTGAGCCATCTCCATAAACATAAAAAATGTAAACGAAGATCTTCAACTAGAATAAATTGATTTACGTAATATTCCTATTTAAAAAAAAAATATGAACTTATTCTGGAAATACTTAAATAGGTTCCTCGAAAACGATTACCCAAAACAAAAAAACATATTTCTAACATATTATATTATTATCCATGTTTGATAGCTCGTTATATGTATGCAAACAATAATTTTCCCTCCAGAAGTTGAATTTATCTAAAAGTCTGAGTTAAGTATCCAATGAAAAATTATAATTAGTTTTACATCTGGCAATCGGAAATTCGTGTGTTCTTATAATTGTTCACATATACCCGTAACATCATTAAATAAATAATTATAGTGGGGATGGTGAAGAATACATATTTCCACCACCCCCAAAATGAGTGGACATAAAATAATATACTTTAAAAGTTAATATGATATTAGTTTAAACCGATACCCGGTACCTACCAATAGATCTATCACTAAGTGGTTTGATTTTCTCTGGAGTCGTTGATGTAGTTGTATCATGAGGTGTGACAACAACTAAAGACGTTAGTGGAGTAACAAATGAATACTAAAAAACACAAACACATGTATTATATAAAATTAAAATAAACCGTATGCAGTTAAAAATAAATAATTAGAAACATTTACTTCTAGTGCTATTTCTAGTGCTCTAGCTTTTGTCGTAGAATTTTCGTTCTCGTTTAATTCATATTTATCCATCAGTTGTTGAATGTTCAAATAAGCCCATAATTTCATAGATGACCTGTTATCAATGTACAAAAAAGAAACCAATTAAATTGTCTGCGAAAGTAAGCTCAACAATAAAATTAATTACCTATTCTTCTTTTTTGTGGAACAGTCTCGGGAAGAACGATGGGGAAATCAAAACATGTGATAATAACAGGGTCTTTGAAATCCCCTTCAGTCGAATCGGCGTTCAAAGTTCCGTTAAAATCGGGCAATTTGCCATCTTTCAATTTTCCGGCCACTACGAATTCCGTACCTTCGAACAACAGGTTAAATAATTTTTTCGTCACAGTAACAATTTCGACCTATAAATATAAATTTATAACATTTGTATAATTTATTAGAACACGTACTAAAACACTGTATTTTACCTGATCGTCAATGTATTTTAAAGTGACGTTGGATAAAATGGACGACAATATTTCTTTATGAAAATTACGCAATTGTAACGACGCGTAATAACCTTCGTGAATGGCCCTTGCGAAACCGGCGTTGTAATATGATAGTGTTTTAAGGAAATCCATATCTGCCCCATCGCCAAATCCCAAACTAATTATCGGATACCTATAATAACAATCAATATTACCATTTTACCAAAGGTTGTGATAAATCATATTTGGGCAACCAGGTATTACTTAGCAATAAATATTATGAGAAATGTCGTGTAATTACATCATTGATTATACATCAACATTTAACACTCAACAGTTATCAACTCACTTCTCTACGTTAGTGTTCGAAACCAATTCAAGCAATTCAAAGGGTTCGGTAATCCCTGCGGTCGGCTCACCGTCGGTCAGAAACACAATTATAGGTTTTGGTGTGTTAACACGATCTTTGAAACGCTTTTCGCCCAATTTGGCGATCGAGTGTGCTTTGTTCAGGGCATCTTCCATATTTGTACTTAGTAACATAATACACATTTCCAACACTCAACACACATCATATTATATTCATATTATGCATTGTATTATAAATTTTAAAATGTCTTATTAGAATTTAAATTTTAAATATTGAAAGATAATTTTAAAAAATGTATTATTCCTATATCAGATCTTACTGCTATCCGGTGCCAAGTCCTGAATGAATTTCTTTGCATATTGTATGTTCTGCTCAGTTGCCGGAAAAACAAAACGGTTTTCTCCCAATGTATCCAAACTAAAATTATTGTTTGTCTTCAAGTTTCTACAGTTACAGTCCCAGAGGTTGGACATTTCTTGAGTAGCATTTATTGTCCAAACCTATTACATGAAAGTTTCGTTAGCAATAGATAAAAGTTATCGAGTCATATTTCTGATAAAAGAAAATCATGTGTTTAAACCTGAGCCGAAGTTGAAAAAAGTATCAATGAGAAAAAATATTCGGAATTGATTTGTGACAGAATTTGATTCATTGCTTCTTTCACTTGAGGTAATTTCTGTCCATCCATGGAGCTACTGACGTCGAGTACAAAAATGACGTGAGCCCTGGGTGGTTTCACTTCTGTTGGTTCAAAGAAATGAACAAAATATCCATCGTCGATCTAAAACTCATAATAATTCATGCGATTTAATTAAATAATGTACCTAATTTTTTTTTGTGGAAAATAAACTTAAATTAACAATAATAAGGTAAATTGTACATAATTTATTTCTTTAAACCTTAATTTTTAGTGCATTTATAATTGAATCGACATTGTATTTGTATTAGTAGTATATAATACATATAATCTATTTTTTTTTTAACATACGAGAACTTGATTTGGAGTTGATTTATGATCAACGTCATATTGAACTATGAATTGTCCTTTAACACCTAGTTCTGTATATGATATCTGATCCTCAATAGTTGGACTCCAGGTTATCGTCACTTTGTTGCCTGACTCATAGGTAATTTTTGCCAATTTTTTATCTGTAGCACATTTTGATTAATTAAAATAGTATCCAGGTACATAATACTCATGACTCATAAGTCATAAAAAAATGATAAATTATTACAAATTAGGTAGGTACAATGATTAAAGATTACGATAGACATAATTCATTGTAAGATGTTCTTAGTTATAAATTGTGTCATTAGTCATTACCTATTCAGAAGACTACAAAATTGATGAAAAAAAAATTATTTCATTGTTTCGTTTTTTTTATTAATTATAATTAGTTCTCTAATTAAAAATTTTTTTCATTGGGTGATCGATTTAAAATAATATATGGGTACCTCTCAAACGGTTAAATAATTTAAAAAATTACGTACTACTAATTGTAGTCTCAATTTCATTTGCTGTTTTTATGTCTGGCACTTCTAATTTTGTTATGTTTGAAGACTCTTCAATATCTACTATAACTTGCAAGTTTTGAACAACCTATAACGACAATATAATTTCAATAAAATATGAGGATTTCAATAGTTGTAATAAAAAATTGATATTTAAGTACTCACTTGTCCGGGTTGTAAGTTTATTATATTTTCATAAATTTCCAATTTCCTCTTTAACAATTGTTCGTAAGTGAGATTAAATGTAACTTTGCTTTCTGCTCCCACGTTTACAGAAACCGTAAACTTGCTTGAATCTCTTGCACTATGGATAAATCAATTAGATATTAGTTGTCAACATTAAGCTGAGAAGTTATTTTTAATTGTATGGTAGACCGTACGTACTTTTGCTCGATATGAGCTGCCGTCTGACCCAAGTTTACGGCAGCAATATATTCTTCTTTGGCCCCTTTTTTTTCTTTTACGTAAGCTTCGTACACTTTTTCGTTTATTTCCCTAAATCCAAAACAAGACCGATTAATTGCATTATATGATCCAAAAAATGTATAAAAGAACAAGTAACTAACATTAAAAACTTAGAAACAAATGCAGATTTTGGAAAAGTTACGTAGAACTGTACTTCATGGGAAGTATTTTTCTTGTTGGCCACACGACTCGATACAACAGTCTGTGCATATCTGTACTTGATTTTCGAATGGACGATGAAACTGTAAATGTCACCGCTTGTAGGCTGGACCTAAAATAAATATTAAATAATTTATCATTTCATTGTTTAATGTTTTGCTTAGATCAAGTACATTGACAACAAAAACAATTTAAGCTGCAGACCACTCAGTTTTCATCGTGTATTTCGTTCATCTTAAACGAAAAAAGTTGCTGTTATAAGGTATTGAACTGACTACCGTTTTGTGGTGAAAAACGCGTTTGTCAAAAATTAAATGAATTTAGAAATATATGCTAATTCAAATATTTTTTCCACCTGACAACACTTTTTAAAAATATTATTTATTTCAAAAGCATCTTAAAAATATTCTCTATGTAAATAATAATCAAACCAATTTTTCAAAATGTTATGAGCTATAAGCTATAGTACACTTGTACATAGGAAGGACAAATTAGTACAGAAAGTAACTTTTTGAAAGTACCTTTAACAGTTTAACTCTCTGGATTTGGTTTGATTTTATATGAATTCTATAAAGTTAAAGATATTTTTCCAATTAACATTGTTCGTTATATTTTTTTTTCATTATATCACATTGTTCATTGCATTCAAGTTTAGAGAGGACTTATGCTAAAAGCTATTAAATAATGAAACCTCCGAATTTTAATAAATTTAAATTATTAGGATATGTCTTTTCAAACATTATTTTAAAAGGATCTACGGCACAGAACTATAAACAGTTCAAGGTTTTGCACTTTTCCCTCTAAAATCAGTTAAGGAGCAATATGTATTGAGTGATAAAGATAATAGTATCAGAAAACTGGTATAAGTACATAGTTTAAATAACGCTGAAAACATTATGGAAGGCAGGATGTTATAATATCAATTATAGTGGTAAAATTAATTATGTAGGTATACTAATAAAACTTTTTGCAAATCATTTTTGGATGATAAACAACAAAATATTGTATACCAATCATTACTGAATGTAAAATTAGTTTTTCTATTAAATTACACTTTAATTGACATGATAATAGTAGGGCAGACACGTAGCTATCAGGGAATTGCATACTCTAAATTTACTCTGGCCTTAGTTGAATCAACCCTACCACTTAACTATGTTTTGATGAAAAAGTTTACTTACAGAATATAAATTGCAAGTACAATATTAAATATACATTAATAATAAAAATTAGACTAACAAAATATAAAACACGTTTGAAGAAATACAATTATAAAATATTGTCCTACCCTAGGAACATTTTCTAGCTACATGTTTGTAGTAGAGACTGATATTAATAATTCACTGATTATCACAAGTTGTCTTTAATCTTGAAGCATATTAATTAATTGTTATTACTTATTACATAATATTAAACGTATTTAAATAATCGTTATCGCAAGCTGTTTACGAAAAATATTCTATAGCAGCTGGTAGTTACTAATATCAACTCCTTACATCAAACACAAGCAAAACATTAGTAAATCGAAAAAAAAATTAACTTACGATTTCATCTGCACCGGACTGCTCTGCGGCTAACACCAATAACAACAGAGCACCTACCAAGGTGCAGGCATGCAACGCAGAGTACATCGAGGAGAGTAACATATAATATCGTTACGTTGGGCGTTTGACTTCGAATGTAGCGACCTGGTGACTATGTTATATTGTACTGTGTAAGCACAGAACACGCCACCGAACTCGATAGCTTGTCTTATCATGTAGCACATAATATTGTGCAGTTCAACATTAGGTGATCCAACACAGTTCAAACCTGCTTCCCCGAAATCTGCGTCGAAATCATGCATCTCAATTCAAAAATCCCAAATCTGTCAGCAAAATTCTGTTCTAAAACAGTATGGCCGCGGAAATTCGTTACATTGATTTCTAATATTTTTTCAATTGGCTGATCCGCTGCTGTGTTGTGGAATCACGATGAGTTATACTTATGCAACGCTATTGTTTAAACTTGCAGCTCACCTATATTTTTAAAGTTAAATTATGCATCCTGATTAAAATTCCGGTTTTTGGAATTTTTAAATACATTTGAAGACCACATATTCGAATACTTATTTTAAATTATATTTTTTTTTATCACTGAGGATGATCCAGTCATAATACAAACTTCTGTTTTTAAGTAGGATCTCCCTTTTTCACTTTGAATTTTGCAAATATTTGTTTTGATTATTTTGATGTACCTAAATCAAAATCTGAACGATTAGTTCTTAAGCTGCATAATATCATTATTTATACTGAGGATGTATAATGTCTCATATGTCTCTTGTAATGGCAGGTAATTAGGTATGGGGCTTAGATGATTTAAAAATGTTAGTAATTACTTTTGATCCATCATAATAATTAATTTATGATAATGGTCAAGTATAATAAATATAACATCTTATATAATTACATAAAGTTTATTTTTTATAAAACTATTATTTAAATTATTACCCTTAGTATTAATATTTTAATAATTCAAAAACTACTCGTTAAAATTTTGATTTTATAAACTTCAATAATAATAATAATATCTATTTTCAGTAGATTCATAAAATTGACTAAGTAATTCCCAAATTATTATAGAAATAATTCAGTTTAAGTATTGGGTGTTCGATCACCTAGTAACTTTAAGATAGGCTGTTATGATTACTGACTAATCCAGCCTGATTGTTAATTATTATTATTATTATTATTATTATTTATTATTATCGGCAGTCATAAATACGACTATACGATGACCATGAAATTGATATTTATATCATAACCGTGATATTTTATAATTCAAATCATACCATACCTTTGATACGCAAACATATTTGTGCAGTCAAAAATAAATTGCTACTACTAGCAGTCCTCGACCTTTGTCTACGAGATAATTATGCCTCGGTTTTCTTATAAAACACCAAATGTGTATAACAAAAATTATGTCGATAAAAATAACAGTATTATACCTACATACAGCTTGCTAAAATCAATATGCTCCAGGTAATATTAAGACCAAATTTTTATGGTTCGAGCTCTTCACCCGTATATTTTGACAATACGATTAATTCTACTATCGATGGTTGGACACCAGGCCAGCAAGAGAAACAATTCCACCAGGAACCTAACTCTTCTGATTCTGTTCAAAATTAAAATTACAATACATAATGCATAATATAAATTATTTGTATCCACGACAGCCCACCGGTTTGAAAGAAACAACGCAATTGACCCTGACATAATGCTGCCTACAATTGCAGCCGAAATTTAAAGGTTTGCTCTCAAACACGAGACGAGGCTAGATCACCATGTCAATTCATATGCCATCCAATTATTACTTATTAGATAACTTCAATGACATGAGACGTCTTAAGCGTCTGAAACTACACAATGTCTTAGCTTAAGATTTTAGATTAAGGTAGGAGCCACTTCATCGGAAGTGACTCCATTAACGTGTAAAGTATATATAATCTAATAAATCTATATCTAGTATGAAAAGCTATGAGCTAATATGAGCCCAAACGACGATAACAAGAAACTTGACATTTTCAAGGTGCCTTCGTACTGTCATGCAAGTGTGTACTAAGAAATTATTTTCCAATAATCGCATTTTAAAGAGCTTGCACAAGGAATTTGACGGTCGATGGAAATCAAACATTTTTATTTTGTCAAAGATTAAGTAAACAATACTAATAAAATAATAAAATAGTTTTAAAACAAAATAAAAATGTTGGATTTTCATCTTACCTATCTGGTTTTAGGAAATAAACAATTGTTTGGATAAATAATTATGTTTAATTGATAATACAAAGGTACATAAAATATAAGTCAATAATCAATAATAATAAATAACTTAAACACATTAAAAATATTAATAATTCTCTGCTTCCTAGAAAAATATGAACATTCACACATTTACATTTTACACTAAGCAGCAAATTCCTGCATACCTGTAAATAAAATAAAAATATTTATTATTATAAGATAAAAATGTAATTTAAGAGGGCGCCACACCCGCATGCGTTGTCTCCGTCTTACAAACGAGTAACATACCAAATTTACGCTCAGCAGTTCAAGTTTTATGCCGTTAGCTTAAAAATTAGAGTGAATTAACCTATTATGAAACTTGATGGTAAGAACTTTATCCGTGTTTTGTTGGAAGTTTTTTTTACGATACTTCAGTTTTTAAGCGAGGTATGCTTGTATAATAAATGTAAATTAAAAATGCTCATAACTCACTTAAAAACTGAATTATTGTAAAAAAACTTCCAACAAAACACAGATAAAGTTCTCACCATCAAGTTTCATAATAGGTTAATTCACTCTAATTTTTATGCTAACGGCATAAAACTTGAACTGCTGAGCGTAAATTTGGTATGTTACTCGTTTGTAAGACGGAGACAACGCATGCGGGTGTGGCGCCCTCTTAATACAATTTGGTATTTATAATGTACATTGTATGGAATATAATAATGAATGATGATTTATCACAATAATTTCTTTGTACAAATTATAAATCACAAATGTTTTTTTTTAAATTTTAATTTCAATAATCATATAGTACAATAAATAAATTTAAATTTATAAATATCTGACAAAAAACTTTAACTCGAAGCTATTAATGTAATTTGATTTTTCATTTTGTTTTATTGATCTAAAGCTCGGCTACTATGGCCATTTGCTGTTTGTAAGAGAGTAGCTTTTTTGGAACTCGTATTTGTATGTGTAGCAATAATTTTGTTGCTAAAAACCCGGGTGGTCACTCATGCGGGAGTTGGCAACGCCAGCCGGTGTGTACACTGTACAGTGTACACTCAGAGCGCGTACGTAACTGAATGTAGACTCCTTGCCACACCGTGCCATTAATTTTTATATACCAAAATAAACATTCCATACCATAAAACAATATTAAGCATATTGATAAATAATAAATTATCAAGACATATTTTCATATACCTTATGAAATTTACTTAACGTTCTTTTATACTATAATTAAAATATCTTTTCACTTAAGTGTGAAAAAAATGTTCAAAATAAAATTTAAAAGTACAATTATTATTAAGAGTATAATATTTACTATTTAAACTACTTAATAAACCGACAACCTTCAGATTGTGATCAATGCACACTCAAATGTCTATACTACAAAATGAATAATAATAGTATCATACAACACAAATAATATTGTACTTACAATGTTTCTATTGGGCAAAATAGTGAAAGGTATGTATCAAACGAGTTCAGGATTGATGCCACAACGCAGTCTTTTAAATGTTTACAATTACCATGGACTTGATCAGGTGTTGTACAGTTTTGATATGATTGACCACTCTAAACATATATTCAACAGTGAACGAACAACATAAATTTACAATTAATTATCAAACAAGACTGTCTATGCCAGTCACGGGTCTAGGACAATTCAGCACTGCTGTTTTGGCGAGAAGACATATCGGCGATGGCCATTTTGGCTCGGAGTTTTTTTTAAATCAAGAATAATGCTATAACTACTACTATTGTCTATTACTATTATGGAAAATAACCGTAATAAAATCGTATACTATGTGTTCTCCATCAAATTCTAGTGAGGAAATATTTTTACAAAGTGACAGTGGTCCGGGTCCTAATAGAAGAGGTATTAATTTTTGTTCCATAATATTCTATGTACTTTGATATTTTGGAGAATTCAAACGTTTGGTACATGGCTGGTACATTTAAAGTTGCACCTCCATTATTCAGTCGAGTTTATGTAATATTAGTTGATTATTTACATGGTATACAAGTACTGCCTACGGTTTATATTTTACTCCCTGATATGACCTAACCTAACCTTCATATGATCATATGTTTTTAATGTTAAAAAATTAAGGACAGACTATAAAACCTAAATCAATTTCATGTGATTTTAAACAAGCGGCTGTAAAATCAATAAAAAAAGGATTTCTTGATGTTAAAATATATGGGAGTTTATTTCATCTGTCGAAAAATATTAAAAAACAATTCGGTGTAGTTAATCTCATAACTCGATACAATAATGACGCTGATTCTTCTATATCAATTGAAATGATCATTTCATTAGCTTTTGTAAGATTAGAAGACTTTGATTTTTCAGTTTATTTATTGGGCTCAAAATCTTGATGAAGAATTAAGTAACTTATTAGAATGGTTCGAAGATAATTATATAGGCCGAACAAACGGTAATAGTCGGGGGAAAAGAAATGCTCGTCTCCCTCCAGAAATTAGGAATCTATTTGATAGAGTCTTACATTCTGAATATAGGACGAATAACCATGCTGAGGCAGCAAATATAAGATTAAATATTGAAATGGGAGTGTGCGGTCCAACGATTTGGACATTTATAAATTGCTTGAGAAGGGTTCAAAAATAGGAAGGTCCCTAAAAAATAAAAATAAATATAGTGACCTGAATTGTCGTTTATATAGCGCTTATAAGTAAGCGGGTATAATAGAAGAAATTTCATTGAGTATTAAAGGGAATCACACATCATATTTCTTTGAAATAAATTTCAATTTTATATCATTAACATTTTATTAAAATATTATGAGTTTATTTTTTTAAATTAATTTTACCTAATACCTACATTTTACCTATTTTCGCTATTATCATGTATGGGTTAACCATTTTGTTTTTAAAAACTGTAATATTGGAATAATGATATACTATTAATATAATATTATTTATTAAGTTTTTTTTTAATTGCATATTAATGCACTAGCAGCGCTTAGATACCACCACGCCGAAATAGCCTGTGCCGATATATCTTCGCGCCGAAATAGTCGTGCTGAAAAGTCCGATTCTCCCAGTCACGGCTCACTCACCGTGTTCAATGATACTTGGTAAACTGTATTAGTTGCGTTCAATGTAATAGAATCACTCAACCATGATAGTTCTTTGATATCGTGCAACGATGTAGAATTTGATTCCTCTGTTACAATTTGGGGAGAATCTACAGCCGAGGTCAACAGGAATTTATCTGTATCTGCAACGAAAGTTGACGTTATAGTTGTCAA